GCTGCTCCAACCCCCCCTCCCCGCTGTACTAGGGCCAGCAGCCCTCACCAGTCAGCCCATTCACAGGAACACCGCAGTGACCTTGCCAGTGCTCAGGACTGCAGGGCAGGGTCTCAGCCCTCCTGCTGATGGTCATCATGTCCAGGTTTATACTCTCTCAGTATCAGGGGTCATGTTCTCCACCTTACTCTTCTGTTCTAGAGTTCTGCGCTTCTTCAGGCCTGCATTCGCCAATACGTTTTATAATCAGCTTGCCAAACTCCTTGAAAAACACTGCTGGAATTCTGAATGCACTGTGTTAAACCTACAAACGGATCTGAGGATTCGTGTCAGCTTTACAATGTTGACTCTATGTATGACATACGTATAGTATGGTAAGAACATTTTTAAAATGTTCTTACTAAAGTTTACAATTTTCTCCATAAAGATTTCTCGTTATTCTATTCTACATTATTTTTGCTATGATAAATACGGCTTATTGATTATAAACAGAATACATTTGATTATCACCTTTTCATATTAGAACAAGCCACCTTAACAAACTTGCTTATGAATTCTACTACTTTGCCCAGGAATTCTGTGAATAAAGACGTTCTGTCTTTTGCTTTCCAGTTTCCATGTTTGCCATTTTGTTCCTCACTGAGCTAGCTTGGACCCTCAGTTGTTCCTTTTTCAAAGGGCTGCTTCAAATATTTCACCATCACCATTCACAGTGGGATTTTGGTAGACAATCCTGATCAGTTAAGGAAATACTTGTACTTTTCCTGAATTATCCTTGCTAATGTGGTGAGTTATATTTATAAGCTTTTGTATTGATTAAATGAAATAACCAGTGTTAAGTCACCTTGGTGTAAATGCACTCCTAAGTACAAATCTCCTTACATATTCTGCATTTGAGTCTTTTGTCAGATGTGTGGTCTGCAAGCATTTTCATCCTATTAACAGACTCATTTGCAAAGCAGAAGTTTTCAGTTTGAAGAAGGAACCCATGAGTTGTCTTCATATATATATACTTTACCATATATAGTTATTAGTGAGAAGCTAAAATCAATACTTAACAGTCTTGCAAATAATACAAGGAGCTCAGAGTCCTTTAACGATTCTTCCTATCAATATCCTGCCATCATCCATTATTGTTCTGTCCTTCCTAAAAATTGAGTCCCACAATTTAGACTAGAGTTCTAGTCATTGCAGACTTCTTGAAGTTCAACAGGCATCTGGATTTACTCACAAATCCCCCATTCTCTCTTCTGGCACCACAGGAGACCTGCGCTGGGGCCCAGACTTCAGAAGGTCCTTAGCAATATCCTTTCGATGTGAGTCCTCCCTTCTCACTTCCGTGGATGTCTGCTTGCATGTGTTCTTGAAGGCAGGTTTGTGTGTTTGAAGGCAGGTGCAGAATTAAGTCACTGGTGACCCCCATCAATGCTGTTGTGGGATTGCCGTTTCCTGGCCTGCACTGCTGCTGGTGCAAAGTGAGCCATCAGCAAAATGGCCCTCCTCTCCTTTGCCTCCTCCCAACACTTGGCCTGACTTGTGCTCTGTGAGTCTGTGCAGTCCTGGCTTGCCCGCTGCACACCTGCCTTCCTCCACCCATCGGGCGTGCACTGGGGTCATGATTTTCAACCCACACCGCTTCACCACTACAGTTTTTCTTGTCTCTGCACTATTTCCCTTTCCTTAGACATCTTCCCAGGAGCCACTTCTCACTTCCTTATGTTCCAATGCTGCTCAACCCACCTGGTCAGGTTTGAATGCAAAGGCCCAGGTGTTAAAGTCTTGGTTCCCAGGATGGGGACATTGAGAGGCTGTGAAACCTTTAGGAAGTAGGAATGAGTGGGAGGCCCTTAGGACACCAGTGGTGTGCCCTCCAAGAGGATTGTGAGACCCCAGTCTCTTCCTCTTCCTTCTGCTTCTGCATGTGTTCCTGCCATGACGTGTGGCCTCAACACAGGCCTGACATCACGGGCGGCTCGATCATGGACTGCAGCCTCCAAGGCCTTTTCTCTTTTAGTCAGTTGCTTCAGGCATTTTGTTACAGTAATGGAAAGTTGGCTAAACACCCACCAACCAAGTTCTTCCTCTCTAAAAGCCACACTGCATCTTCCTCAGATATTCCTGATCACTTCTGAGTATCTTTACTGCTCACTTTTGTGATTTCATCTCTTTACTTTTAAAAAGAGTTCATGGAATTACACCATTTCCAATTAATTCCAAGGGCTAATAAAGTCCTTTGGGACTTAAGTAACTGCAGGGTTTTTTGTTTATTTGTTTGCTACTGTTAGTTCCTTCTGATTCTCACTCAATGGTGTTGCTCCTTACAGGCAGTGATTTCTGGTGGGGTTCACTACGTTCTCTCTGCGGTGTCCCACAGGGTCCCCTGCAGACCTGCAGCATTTCCTGTCAGGACGCCTCCTTTCCTTTGCTTCCCACCTAGCCCTTGCAGAGAGGGGGGAAGAAGTAAGGGACAAGACTTGGCTGCCATGGTCAGCAAAACACTTGAAGGCATTTTTTTTTTCTTCTTCATGCTCAACCATTCAGATATAACACGACATCCAAGAGTGCAGATCTGCCAATCGCCTTTCCTGCAGACCTTACTGGTCTGGCTCATTTGGAGTCAGATGAACAAAGTACATTTACAATATCCCCACTAACTCAGCAGGGCAGCATGAAGTGGGGGGAAAGGGCGCAAACTTGGAACCCAGGGGCCTATAGCTTTCCCCCGACCCTGGGGCTCTGTCTTACTGTCAAATGGGACAGTGGTGAGCTGAGCTCTGACAAAGAGCTGCAGAAGGTCCTGTGGTCAGGTGCTGCACAGAATGCCACACAGGCACCTCCTGCCATGGTCACCGATGCATCTAGAGGCCCCAGATCAGGACCCTCTCCATCTTTGCCCTGCTGGACCCTTCTGGGGACCTGATGCTGCCAGCCACTCCCTGCTCCTGAATCCCTCCTCAGCTCCTACAGGAAGTCTCAGACCACCCCTTCTCCCCTCAGGCCACTCCACATCTCTCCTTTGCTGACTCTGTGCTCCCACATGGGAGGTCCTAGTAGTTCTGCCCATGTCCTCTGTCCAGTCCCTGAAAGAGTCCATTAGGAAGCACCGTGCTGCTGCAGACCCTCTTATCTAGGGGTGGATGCTTACCTGGGCAGCTATGCCAGCTCTTTCTGGCTGCCCCCATGGCATGAGCTCACAGAGGACACTTCAAGAGCTCAGATTCTGATGGCTTTTGTTAGTCCAGACACACCCTCCTTCACCACAAGTCTTAGGCCAGCACTGCCCTCTCCCAGGAGAGAGAAGCATCCAGCCCCAGGTCTGAGGGCACCACTCCTGTGCCCACCAATGTCACCCATGCTGGAGGCAATGCTGTCACATTTTCCCTGGTGGTGCCCACCACTGTCCAACTTTGCTCCTGCCCAGCCTCTCTGGATCTGTTGGCAGGAGCCCTGGCCTAGAGGACAAAGGGCACAGAGGGCTGAGGGCACAGACCTGAACCCCCCATTGTCCTCTACACTCAGAACTTTGCTCCCCAGCACAGAGCAGACATGCAGTGGAGCCGTTCTCCCCGGCTTCACCCTTGCTGTTGTCTGCCCAGGGTACTTCTGGCTCCTCTTTCCCTACCTGAGTGCAGGCTTCGCTGACTTCTGCCAGACTGCGGTTAGGCCCTCTGCTGAGACCTCACTTCTTGAGGGAGTTGTCCCAAACCCTTCCCTGTCCCCCACGTGGGTCCCAGCTCTGCCAACTCCTGGCCATTGGGTACCTTCCCCAGCATCAGTCTCCTTCCCTATTTGTAACAAAATCCACAACCAGTGCTAAAATTATAAAAGTATTTCCCACTTCTACTGCAACTAAGCATGGGTATCTGGCTAGCTTCCAGACAACTGGATCAAGATGCACTCTTTCAAGGGAGTGGGAATGCCCTTCCTCTTCTTTCCCCACCTCCTGCTACCTGGAATGTGGGTGCAATGGTGAGTCCTGAAGCCATCTTGGACCATGAGACCCAAAGTGGAGGAAGGAGCTAAAGGCACCTGAAGCTCAGACTCTACAGAGCCACCCTGTCAGCTCTTACTGTCAACCTCTCGGTTTCCTTCACATGACAGCTGGAACTCAGCCTGCCTTCTCTGAGACAAACTAGTCTAGGTTTTCTTTCAAATGCAGTGAAGCTGAATTTTAACGGATACGCAGAATAACTTTTGCCAAGTGTTTGCTTGGTATGCATTCTTTGCAACACACACAGTGAGCTCTGGGAGAAGGCTTGTCGTCTGCCTTGGTCACTTCTTAGCACCTACTACAGGACCCAGCCCAAAGGGTGCTCCCAAAGACACCATAGGATCAGCCAGGGTCAGGGTTCAGTGTGCGACCAGGGTTGGCGTTCAGTATGGGGCCAGGGTTGGGGCTTCATGACAAGGATCAAGGCTCAGTGTGTGACCAGGATTGGGGCTCAACCTGGACTACAGTAGGGCTAGGTCCAGAGTAAACTCACAACACAAGGAAGTGTTCACTGCCACAGAGAGGCAAATGACAATGCTGGTATTTTTAGTGGACAAGAACCTGTAATGAAGATTCACCAAGGCTTCTTGGAGGTGGTGGTACTGGTCTGGACTTGACTTTTGCAGAAAGGTTGGCCTTTCTGTGAGGGAAGCAGGGACCATGGCATCTGCACCAAGATGACGAGGCCGGAGTGGCAGGCCCTGATGCAGAAGGCAGCTGCATGCCTGGCTATAAAGTTTGGTTTCTTTCATAATCAAAATCACTGGCACTGCCTGTACCATGTGCAATGCAAAACAAGGGAAGTCCCTCCCACTTGTCTAGGGGACTCTGTGGTCTTAGTCGTTGGACTGGGACTTCCCTAGCCGCTACAGGGACCAACATGCCATCCCACTCAAGGCAGTATTTCAGCCTCCTGCTTTCTTCTACAGGGGTCAGGTTAGAGGTTTAAGGAAAGTCAAGGCCTCTGGTGGCCAGGCCTGTCTCCCAAAGGCCACCCACCTGTGTGGCTGTAGGCTGCGTGTTGCCTGACAAGGGCAGATGTACAATGGCAGAAGCTCACAGAGGCAATGCATGGGAAGGATACAAAACCAGGGAAGCACTCAGGACTCCCTACTGAGGGGTCACAAGCAGAGGCGAGACCCACCAGAGCAGAGTTCCAGCTCATTTACTGTCAAGCAGCAGCAGCAGCTCTGCTGCCTTTCCTGCTATTTTGTGCTAATGTAAGAAAAATAGTGTTTGCAAGAAAAATCAACAGGTATAAAATGGCATTCCACCTGTGTACAATGATGAGTAACATATGTACATACACACGTACACTTATAATAGATGTAAAACTGGAGAGAAATTGTTCCAGGCCTACAGACATGGCTCCCTTAGGCCAGATTCAAAAACACAGGAGCCCAGACCCTCAGGGTTCAGTGGGATAGAGGCTTTCAGGAGGGCTACACTACACCCTTCTAGATGGCTGAGCCATCATTTCCAGTATCCAAGGTCAAAGGGGCCTCTGAGTACCTCTTCTCCCTCCCACCACCCACAGGGAAAGCTCCTGAAGCGAACTCCAGGGTCACTGGCTCCAGCAGCTAAAGGGAGACATGGCGGTGAGAGACGAGCTTGCTATGACTGTCCCTCTGCCTTCTTTGATCCCTGAGTAGATCATGGCTCTGGAAACTGGTGCTGTGAAGCAGGTCACCACACCCCACAGAAAGGCCAGCAAGGAAGAGCACCAGGGGGAGGCATTGCATGCCCTCTCAACCTTCCAGCTCCCTGGAGGCCATCCCTATAACTCCTCTTCCACCTTCAGGATCATCCCTGAGAAGACCTCCAGGCCTCCAGGGTGGGTGTCCCGGGAGTCTCTGGTGGGCCCCTGGGCTGCTCCATCAGCAGGAGCACCACCTGGGGCTGAGGATGAGGCTTCATGCGCTGGGTGCACTGCCACCAGCTGCTGGGGGGTCCTGTTGAGGGCCTCCAGGCCATTGGCCAGCCATCGGCTCTGCTCAGCCAGCTGCTGCAGTAGCAGGTTCTGCTGGGCCATCAGTGCACTCTGCTGCTGTGACCAGGAGGCTAGCAAGGCACCCTGCCGCCCATGTGAGTCCAGCAGACGCTGCTCAAATGCAGACACCTCGGGTGCTGCCACTGGGGTCCTCCCAGAGGGTGGGGGCACTACAGATGCTGGCCCAGAGGACCCACAGGTCCCCATGAATGCAGCTGCAGAGGGCGCCAAGGCTGGAGAGGCAGGTGGGGAGGGTGAGGCAGGTGCATGGAAGACTCCACGGAAGTCCAGGGGGTCAGGTTCAGGCGGGCTGGGTCCGTCCAGAGTCCTTGGTGGTAGCCACTGGCAGCTGGAGGCTTCATCCTCCTCATCAGCTAAGAGAAGGGCACAGGGGATATCAGACTGGACTGGCCATGACCAGGCAATCCAAGTGGGGACAGGGATGGGAGGGAACAGTTGCCTGCCTGCATGAAGACCTCAGCACTGCATAGTCCCCTCTGCAGTGGGAGTGACATCCATTTAGAAGATGAGGAAGCTAAGATACCACAAGGCGAAGCGATTTCTCTAGCGATGCCAGGACTAGACCACAGCCCATCCAACTCTAACAACGCCATCTTGGATTCTCCCAGTCACCATCTAGTGCCTGCCCGTTCACCCACTCAACAGTCCATTTATCTACCTATCATTCTGTGTGTCCATCCATCTACCCACTCCACTCCTCAGTGTGTCATTCACTCATCAATCACCCAGCTTGCCTCCATGCACCCATCTTCCTTCCTTCCACTCATCCACCCATTCGTCCCTCTATTTATCCACACCTGAGTCCATCCATCCTACCTACATCTGTACTTCTGCCCTTCCTTCTATCCGTTCATGCATGCATTCATCCACCTGTCCATCCAAGCACCCACTGTCTGTCCATGCATTCCAAGTGACATGCCAGGAGGAAGAGGGGTAGGGCTTCCTTAGGGCAGCAGGAAGAGCCCAACTCACGGGATCCTGTGGACCTGGGCTCCCAAACAGCACTGCTTGGCCTCCACAGCTCTGTGGTCCTAGGAAAAGCCCTTCTCTCCGTCCACCTCCAGTTCTTAATTTACAAACAAAAGGCCTGGCTTTTAGGACCCCTAAAAAAGCCTAAGTGTGGGACCTCTCTGGATATGGAGGATAGGTCAGCAAATGTCCCTTCCTGATGCGCCTATGGAAGGCCACAGCCTGGTGGGGATAGGAGGACACTGTGGTGGTGACTTTGGGCAGGGTACTTCCTGGGCTGACGACAGCACCACCCAGCAAGCTTGGCCCACAGCCCACTGGAAATGCAGCAGGGAGACTCCATGGGCACAGAGAACTGGCCTGGTTAAGTTGTCTCCTCTCTTCCTCCTCCTCCTCTCTGTTGGGCATCTGCTGATTCTTTCTGACCACATGACCCTTGATGCTCATGGGAGGACAACCCCTGCCGACTTGTGTGGGCCTGAGCTGCTGACATGTTGCCTCTCTTGATAGTGGCAGCATCCATCTTCCACTCCAGGGAGGCCTTGGCCAGCCTTGGAAAGAGGCCTGGGTGGGGGCCTGGCTGCCATCCTCGTGCCAGAAGTAGCCCTATGTGGGCATCTGGGTCCCAGCCCCCAGAATGCGTCTGCCCATCCGGCAGTCAAGACCTCAGACAAGCTGCCCTGGCCTGGCATTTGCCAGCTGTCATAACAGGCTGTCCTTTGCCACACTGGCCTGGATTCTGACCATCAGTGGCAGAAAACATGGATGGAAAGCCATGACCCAGCCTCCTTTGTCATACCCTCACACAGGTTCTGGCTGAGTGCTAGCCTGGAACAGCCTGGTAGGTGTCCTCTCCTCACCTCATCTCCACCCTTCTTAGGCTAGTCCTTTTCCCCTGCTTCCCAAGGCAACCTAGGGCCTTCTCAAAGCACAATCTGAGTTTCCAAGGCCCCTGGAGAGCAAGGACCTGGTGACCACTCCTCCCTCCCTCCTCTGGCACAGCACCAACACAATGGTCCACACCAGAGCTTTCTGGTGGCTTCTCCTCTGGCCCAGCTGCCTGGCCTGACAGAGCATGCACTCTCTCGGGGAAGACCTCCTTGCCCTGGCCACTTCTGAACTCCCGCTGTGCCCCCACCACTCTCATCTCACCAGACTGAATGTCAACCTTTCCTGGACTCTGGAACATAAGACTGACTGGTCAAGACCACTGCAGAGCAAAGGGCCACAGTTAGTGAGATGGTGAGGGGATGACAGCTTGCTGGGCCTTCCTTCCCACTGGACCAAGACCCCAAGCCAGCACTGCCCTAGTCAAGCCCCTCATGGTGGACACCGGCCAACAGGTGGCCGGACAGGTAACCCTCAGCCTATTTTGAATCCTGTTCATGCATGACATCCTCCTCAAAAGCCATCCCTGCTCCAAGCACAATGTTCCTTCCCAGTCCCCAGCCTGGGGTGGACGCAGAGCTGCACCCTAGGCCCCAGAGGCAGCAGCAGACTGGAAGAGCCTGACAATCCCTCAAGGAATGGGGCAGAGACTGGCAGAGCTACCTCAGGGTCGGCGCAGTCAGCACAGAGCACAGTGAACTAATCTTGGGAAGCACAGCCACATCGAATCGCCTATAGGGAGACTGGTCCCCACACTGCTGGCCAACCTCCACTGTGGCAGTCAAATGGCTGCCTTGCAGGCCCAGCAGGTGAGGAACCTGAGGGAGAAGGTGGCAGAGTCCAGATGAGAACACACAGTGTCAACCTCAGTGCTTAAGCCGGTGGCCTGGCTCAGAGAAGACCCTCTGGGAATGTCCCTTCCAAGTGTCAGCAGGCCTGGTCTCCCTGGCAGATGGGTTGAGAGACAAAGGGACAGGAGACAGGCTAGCTGGGCATGTCATACTCCATGATCTTGCTTCATGCTGGTTGCATGTACATGCAAGGGGCAGCCTCAATACTGCTTCAATGCTATCTACAAATCTAGCCAGCAGGAAGCAATTACAGGGCACAGACTAGCCATTCTGATCCTAAGGACACCACCAAAGCCAGCTCTAGTGTGGATATTCCTATGGAGTCCCTGAGATCCTTCTAGACAGGTGGAGGAATGGGTCTTTGGGTATCAATGAAGGATCTCCCTGGTATGGGATATGGGCAGCCACAACAGCAGGACAGAGGACCTAAGGTGGTCTCTGGGGAAGAGGAGTTCTTGGCAACACCCCTGGGCATAGTGGGACATCCCACTCAAAAAGGGTGGAAGTCGCAGTGGGGAAGCCAGAGCTGAAGTGGAACCCTGCTGTCACAACTCTGCCTTCTGATGGTCCTCCACTCCAGTGTGGCCCCCCACCCCCGTGAAGGGGCAGAGCCCCATCTGCACACATCCTGCAGTGCTGTTCCAAGGGCGGGCCTGTGAACATGGAGCTGAGTGTTAGCATGGGCACACTCTGAGATGTCAACAGAGGCCAGTCCTGCACGAGCACGAGGACCCAAATTCTTTCAGGAAGGGGGAACTGTTAGAAGGCATGCCTCCAGAATCGCACTTGGAGAGGACTTTGGAGGCAGGAACACTACACCCAAATCGTCTCCCTGCAGGGCTCCCCTGAGCATGTCCTCAGCTGACCTGTGCCTCCAAGTTGTAGGCAGACTCAGAGGTGACTTTCCTAATCCAGGGCACTGCTCCAGGCTCAAGACCACGTCCAGCCCAGCAGCATCTGCTATGAGGTAGCAAGGTCCTCACGGGGACCTCTGCTCTGATCAGGGCAATGTGGCCTCAGCTCTGCAGCCATGAGCCTTGCCTTCTGGAAGTTTCCAAGACTCACACAAACCCATTAACCCTAGTCACCAGCTTTGCCCCACCCCACCCCAGCCAGCCAAGGCTAGTGTGGCCACAGGCCTCATGGACATACCCCAGTGGCCCAACTGGAAGCTCGTGCATGGCCAGGGAGGAAGGACCGGGTTCCTCATAGGCGCACCCATGGGGAAGACGAGGGAGTGGTAGACTGTAGCCACCCGGCGGAGTGCAGCTATTAGTGCCCTCTCACACTGAGGACAGCCAGAGGAGGTGTGAAGGAAAGACGGGGTCTGAGACTTGATTCTGTTTCCTCAGTCCTGTGGGGAAGGGGTACCAACCAGGTCTACCCCTGCCACTGTGGCCCCGCAAACCCTGTGGCAGTGACCCTGCCCTGTTCCTGTCACGAAGAAAGGGGGATGTAGATAACTGAGAGCATGTGCCACACAGGAAGGCCAAAGAGGAGGCCACCCCCCTAGCTAGGTCCTTTCACTGTCTTGTGACCCACACAGCCTAGACTGGGGCCTGGACACTACCCTTGGACTTGGACAAAGCCTGATCCTGGTCTACTCCACGCCCTAATCCTGGGGGCATTTGGCCCAACTCTCACATATTCCCTGGAGGTGTGCAATACCCGTGCCCAAGGGCCACACTCAACAGAAAGCTGGTGCTCTAGGGCTCTGCACATAGACTGGGGGCCAAGTGCAGACAATCTTCCCTGGGGACATCAGCCAGCCAGATACCCAGCATTGTGGTGAGTAGCCCCCTCCTCAGCCCTGGGGCAGTCCCAGGTGTGCTCAGAGATGTAGGGTCCCCTGAAGCTGTGTGGGTACATGAGCAGGCAACACTAACAGCTCATCAGCTTGGCCAGTTTCCTGACCTTGGGAAGAATCCAGGCCTGCAAGTTCAGCCCTGCAGAGCCACAGCCCTGGGCGCTCCCAATCTCTTGACATAGGGATTACACAGAGGGTGCTGCCTGGAAGTCCCCCCTATCCTGGGCCAGGCCTCCAGAGCCACAGAGGACTGCTTGGCCCCCGCCCTCCCAGACACATGCAGAAAGCAGGAGGTACCTGAGGAAAAGTGGGCCTGTTCAGCAGCCTCACAGCACAGAAGCCTCATGGAGAATTTATGGGTAAGCCAGCTCCTTAGTCGTGATATCCTCACCCCACTGAAGGGCTCTGAAGCCAACATCCATGAGGGCGCATTTGCCCCTCCTCCCATTCTCACTCAGTCATTCCACAACATCAAAGACTACCAGCAGTGTGCAGGCCACTCCCATGTGGAACTTAGTGGCACCAGGGGCCAGCTAGTTGGGTTCCCCTGAAGGAGGTGAGCCCAGGTCTGTGAGAGGCCAGGGTATGGGGCTGATTTGCCAGAAGTCGGGGCTGGGCCTTATACCAGTGCAGAGAACTGCTGCCTCTCTCAGCTGGGGTCCTCATCTCTCTACAATGACAATGACAAAGAAAGCAAGGAGAGGACTGCCCACAGTGGCCGTAGCAGCTCCACCAACCTCCAGCCCCTCCTTGGTCCCCATACTGTGCCCACCCTCCCTAAGGTATCCAAACCAGGTTTGTCCTACCCATAGAACCCCTGCAGGACCCTGGAGAAGGCTGTGATCAGAGCTGCCCAGGCTTGTGGCAGGACTTGCAAGTCTTCCTCCCACCTGCCCGGCTCATGGTGAAGCCCAAGGGGAGGACTATCACTGGAAACCTACTGCCTGGGCCCACTGCTTGACCCACCGCCCACGCCCACAGCCCACACCCACACCCACAGCCCAAGCCCCACAGCCTAGGCCAGTCCTGGACCCACATATCTCCCAACCAGCCTAGGCTTACTCTGTGCCCATGTGTACTTGAGGTAGCCACCATGGTGAGAAGGGACAGCTGCACACACCAGGGCCTTCCAGTTCCACCAGGGCCACCTACAGGGGTGTCCGAAGCTGGCCCATTTGTCCTTTTGTTATGGGCATACTTTGGCCCAGCCCTGCTCTAATTCCAGGTGAACCCTAATCCTAGGTATACACTCAGCCTTGTTCTCATCCCTTCATGATCTTTAGGAGAGAGCTGGTCCTGTTCCTTAGGCTTCAATCCCACTATCCTTCCAGCAGCTTCCAGGGATAGAAAAGTCCAGGGGGCATGGCTTCAAGGTGGGTGGTGAGGACAAGAGGAGAGGAGTGGTGCAGGAGGTGGCAGTTGTCTGAGCAGTATCACATGTGGGTCAGAAGTACTGTGGGTGCCGAAGAGGTCTAGCCAAGAACACAGTCCTCCAGCAACGTGGTCTCAGAGGACAGTGCATTTTGGGAAGTCAAGAGCCTCAAGAATGAGTCCTGGAAGGGTCTGCAGAGGAGTGTGTGGTCACCCCTGCTCCCACTCCCAGGCCAGACAGGGAGGCAGGGGGAAGCGCTGACCTGGGCTCCTTCCTGATTCTGCCCAAATTCTACAGCAGTAATGACCAACCCATAAGCCATCTCTGCACTGAGGCATGACAAGGGCTGGCCTGTGAAGCTGGTTCCACCTGCTCTGTGGTCTTGCTCCCCACAGCAGCTACACCCTGGACACCACCTGTTTCAGGGCTGTGCCCAGTCTGAAGTATGAGGGAGGGAGGGAAACCTCACTTGAACATCACACATTCAAACCCCATAGCCACCCTGGCCCTGCTGCCCTGCATGAAGAATTGGGCCTTCACTCTGCTGGTTTCAAGAACCTGGTGGCTTAATGTTAGTCATGCCCTGAGCTCTGCACCATAAGCATACTTACAAGGGCACCAAATATAAGACAGCCACACCTTGGCCATGGCAGAATGGGTCTCCCCAGCCATGATTCATCAGACATGAAATGACAGAAGCCAAGATGGGTGCCCTGGAGAGGGTCCCTGGACCTCAGAGGGCTCTGTGCCTTTCTGCATTGCACCCAGCAGTGTGGGTCAGGCTAATAGGCCCTGCCAGCCACACTCTCATCAACATGGTCCTCATCTCTCTGATGACATGGACATGGCACCCCAGTATCCAGTCCAGATACCCAGGGTGGGGACAGTCATCCTAGTACCCTGCTGTGCGTATGGCCCAGGTTGGCAGTTGCAGTGGCAGCCCTGAGCCCTCAGTAGGTCTAATCTCACTGTCCACTGTCTCTCTCTCTGGCTGCCAGTATGTGAGCTGCTCTGCTCCACCATGCCCTCCCCACCCTGACAAACTGAAACCATGAGCCAAAATAATCCTTCCTCACTTTGGTTGTCTGTGTCAGGTATTTGGTCACAGTGACAAAAAGTCTGACTAATATACTCTGTTTCCTCATGTAGAAGCAAAGGGTCCAAGAAAGTAACAGTCATCTTTGTGGGTCTCCTGCTCTTCCCTAAGACTCACTTGGGGGTCATGCACTGGAAGAAGCCAGCACAGGAGGCTCAAGCCTGGTCTGGCCGGCCAGGTTGGGCTGTGGGGAGGGACCCACTTACTTGGCAGGGGCTCTGCAGCCTGGCCTTCGCCTTGAGAGGCTGGAGCTGAGAAGGTCTTAGCCACTGCACGCTCGATGGGTGTGAAGACAAGGCTAGAGGTCGGGCTCTCGGCCAGCTTCTTGCGCACAGCCCCTCGCAGATCCCACCACTTGTGCTTGAGGTCACTCAAGTCTCGGCGGCAGTAGCCCAGTGCATTCACGGCCTGCAGGATCCTGCTCCACACATGGTGCTTCCGTGCTGGTGTGCCTCGCAACGCCCCGAACAACAATGGGTAGTGGCGCGTCACCCTCTGCACTAGCACCTCCGTCTCCTGGGGGCTGAAGTTGGGCTTGCGTGTCTTGGTACGAGAATGCACTCCTGGCAGCAGAGATGCCTCAACCAGTTCAGGACTAGAGCTCTGCTGATATGTGACCTTCCTGCTGCTGGACTCTAGAAAACACCAGAGATGGAGCAATGGGCAAGGCTGTGGGGAGCACGCCCACAGGGACCCTCCCCCGCAATGTCAGCCCACCATGCTGGGGCCCAGGGCCTTTCTTAAAAGTTTATCTTGCTCTCCAGGCACCTCCCTGTCCACCTCTGTGGCAGATCAGCCCTGGCTTCTCCTTCTTCCCACAGCCTTTCTCCTCCCTGAGTTACGGCGTGGACACTCTCCCCATTGGGAGGTGGCCCCTTCCATCAGTTCATCATGAGAACTGGGCAGTATCTAGGGTGGACAAGCCATTGTGCATGTACTGCGTGTCCCACCTGACAACCAGCCCAAAGTGGCAATAGCTACAGTTGCCACCTTGAAAATGAACAGCAAGCAAGGAGCAGAACAACGAGACAGAGTATGTCTCGGGGAGAAGAGGCCATGCAGATGGTGCCATCCAGGGTCATGGAGCAGGCCAGCCTTATGCCCAGAGAGCACTTTCTCAGGCTGCTCAGGCTCCCGGCCCAGGCTCCACCCATCTGGGGAACAGCAGAGCTGGGGGTACTGGCCGCCCCGCCCAGGCTCAGGGTCCTCCGCTCTAAGCTAGAGATTAAGAGGTCAGCCCCACACAGGTCCAAATGAGGCACCAGCCAGCCAGAGATGGGAAGCTGGTGCGTGAGTGGAGGCCCTGGCCCTAGTAGGCAGCCAAGGAGACCAGGGTTCCAGCCAGAGAGCCATGGGGTCTTGCCAGCCAGCTCAGGCTTGTACTGCAGATACGGAGCAGGCTGAGCTGAGTGGGGCTGGCACCCTGTGGGGCAGTAGGGATGGCCCCAAGTCAGTAAGCCCTTCAAAGGCCCACCTGCACACCACAGCCCATGGCAAGTGGGGAACGGCACAAATGGCCTCTGTGCATCCCCGCTGGGTAGAGGACACCAGTATCACTGGAGCTGCCTGCTGGAGTGAGCGAGAAGGCCGAGCTTGTGGTGTCACAGGCAATGGTTAGAACACTCAGGGACCCTGCTTCATTCTCTAAGTGCCCTGGGCCTCACTGGCTAGGTCCTCATTTTCCAAGTACAGGTCACAGCTCCTGAGGCCAGAGCTTTTAGACCTTGTAGTGAAGTGAGAGGCCACAGAGAGGCAACAGCAGGCCAGGACCACCCATTTTCCCCAAACTTGGCAGTAAGTCAGGCTGCAGGCTGGAGAACTGGCAGGCCTAAGCAGGGGTCACCTGGCTGCTCTAGCCTGTATCCCATCTTCCAGGGAAAGACCATCTCTTGCAGTAGGCAAGGACACTATGATGTGCACCTCCAATCTTCCTTGATCCATACTACCACCAGCCAGGGCCTGGCCCTGCACCCCTGATGGAAAAGAGTGAGCTTCTCTGTGACCCTGTGCCACCCATGCCCAGGGCCCCACTGGTTCTTCCTATCACTGGGTCCCACACTGAAGAATGGACTGACCCAGACCTCTGCTATCTCACCCCCTCCTCAAGAGTAAAGCAAGCCAAGGGGACAAGGCCTTTGAGGTGGTCCAGGAGTCCTAGTGGGCAAGCTGGCCCAGTTTTTCTAAGGGGAGTTTTCAGGACACTGCCCTAGCCAGGCTGCAGGCCCTCGTCCCCTGTCCCCACCCCCCTGGGCACACTTGTTTGTCAGAAGCAAGAGAGGCTCAAGGGCTAGAGCCACGGTGGCAGAGCCTGACTCCAAGGAGCCCAGGCTCCATGGACTCCACACCCCCAGCACTGGCTGCAGCCAACACTGCTCCCCCACTCAGGGCAGCTGGTCCTCTTTCTTTCTGGGGTCCCTGGCAGGTGTAAGGTCCAGCATGGGCTGTGCAGAGACCATAAAAGAGGAGAAGGTAAAGAAGGTGCTCAGCCCCACACCACCCTGGGGCTCAATTATCTCAGGGTGGCTCCTCCCAGGCAGCTCTCATGGCGGAGCAAATACGCACCAATGTTATTCCCTTGTTCTGGCACCATGGAGGTCAAGTCCTTGATGACCTGGTTCACATCCAGCAAGCTACTCTGTGGAAACAGGATGGAGCCAAGTCAGGAGCAGAGGCTGCAGGTGCAGACACTGGTGTCAAGAGAGTGCAGAGTGAATCGAGAGCCAAATGGCCTCTAGAAGCCAGCTATTCTGCCCCTTCCTGTTAGAGGAGCAAGCTTGGCCAAGGCAGCCCCCACCAGAGGCAGGGAAGGGTCTGAGGGTTCAGTTCCCCACTCCTAGGTCAAGCCCCAGACACTCCAACACTCCAGGGGCCAGGAGCTCTTCATATATATGCGGAGGACCAGGGCCTAATTTGGGTACTGGTGGTCTGGGGCAGGACAGAGCATCCTAACACTGAGGTAGGGACTGACAGGGAGCCAGAGACTACCCAGAAGACAGCACTCTGTCCACAGTGCCTGCAGGGTTACCACCATTCCTGTAGACACCCCATCCACACTTGCCTGGGGCTTCCTGACAGGCACTACTTTCCCCTCCCTGTACTGGCAGAGAACACAGGCCAGCATGCAGATGCTGCCAGCAAATCCAGAAGGACTGGGATGTATGAGGAGATGAGTGGGTAGACGGGTGATAAGTGGGCAGGTAGGTGTATGGATAGACAGGAAATGGGTGGGTGGGTGAGGGAGGTAGATGGTGAGTGGGGAATGAGTGGGTAAAGTGAATAGGGTTGAGTGGACAGGTGGGAAGGGGATGAGCGGGTGGGTGGGTAGGTGGTAGCACCTGCTATCCAAGCAGTGAGTAGGCCCATGAAGGCAGAGAACAACATAAGGAGCAAAACCCTGGGCCACACGGACTCCAGTCCCTCCATGCCAACTTGTCACACTGGCCTCTCACCAACTCCATACAGTCCAACTTTATCCTAACTCTTTTGCTTAGCAAAGTGGCCAAACTGATCTTGAGGGAAGTGGACATACTACTTGAGAACCACACACTGGGCTATGCGGAGGGCCAGGGTCACACTGCCACCTTCACATCTGATGAAAGTCCCAGCGTCCCCTGAACAGGGGAGGATTCAGGACTCTGGAGGTCCTAAGACCTACCTGGATTCTCAGGAAGGAGTAGGCCCAGCACCTGTCTGCCTCCTGGACACCCCACCTCTAGTGACTGCCACTCACAGAATTTGGCTCCTCTGCCAGACCCCTGTGAGGTGTTGGGCAAGAGAGTCCCCTGGAGCCAGACCTGCTCACTCACCCCGCACCAGTCATGCTGAGCCCTGCACATCACTTGGCTGTGGCTGGGTTCAAGCCCAGGCCAGAGAAGCTCCTCATGACTGCCGAGGTGGGTAAGGAGGGGTGCCATGGCCCCTGCCCCAGGACGCCCACCCACTCGCAGCACACCACAGAGTGGGATTGATTTCCACAAGGGTCATTTCACCCCACTGCAAGATAGTACAGGGAAATTCATTTTCTTTTTAGGAGTGTTCTGGGAAATGAAGCAATTAGCATGATCTTAAACCGACATGTACTATCAATTGCAATTCAATTACTGGGCTTAAATATGGTGCAGGGGAGGGTGGCTCTGGGCGAATCGGCCGTGGTGGGGAAGGTGACGAGGAGTGTGGGGCCTGGGGTCTCAGCTCAGCTCCAGTCTGTGGCAGCACAGCGGGGCAGCAGCAGACGGGAGGATGGCTATTCAAAGGCCTGGCTAATTTCTAGGCTCCTGGTCACTTTACCTGTGCTGGGAATGGGTCCCAAGCTTAGGATCCACCCTAATGTGGGCATGCCAAGGTCATCTGAGGGCTCCTGGCTCAGTCAGGCCTCAGACATACTGATCCCATATCCACAGACTTCCTGGTTACTGACCCAACCCAGTCAGTGACCAGGTGTTGACCCCACCACTCACCAGCCATGGGCCTGGCCACTGACCAGTCCAAGCCCAGGGAGCTCTGAGCCTGGCTTTGGCTGCTCTTAGGTTCAGGGACTGAGAGGACCTTTCTAAGGCTGCACAGGCAGCAGCTCACTACCCCCCAGCATGTCAGTTCCCTTGCTACCATCACACCCTCCAGGTGGGCAGACAGGGAGGCAGCTCCAGAGTAGGGCTTAAGCAAGGGCAGCTGGCACCAAAGCCCAAGTGTACATTAACTATGCCCCAGCTCACCTAGGGACTCACTCAGATAGACACAGGACCCCTAGACAACACTCAGGGTCTCCCTCAGCTAGGACGAGACAGGGTTTCCCCAAGTCAAGATCTCTGCTGCACTACAGGGCATGACAGCTTTTGCTCTAGACTTGGGGAAGCCGAAAGGTGGTGGATGCAGAGGGCAGACGGATGGCTTTCTCTCCCCGGCTGTGGCTGATGACAGCTGCCTGCTGACCATCATGGGCAGTGGGTGTCCCACTTGCTCCCTGCAACCTCATCCCAGTCAACACAGCTGTGGCATCTGTGGGGACTTCAGGCGATCAGTCCACAAGGAATAGAGGGGCTGGGCTGGTATGTCCTCTGAGCTGGGTCACTGCTAGGACTGTCTACTCATGCCGGACTCAGCAGCAAAGACGATAGGCAACAGTGATAGCCATCCCACGGGAAGGGCTCATGCACACAGAAGTGAATTTGTGCCAGGCTAGTGAGGGGACCCAGAGGCTCTCCGGGCCTCGGCGCTGAGATTATTATGGACAGTACCTTAGATGGGAGGAGACTAAGAGCACACAGCGAGAGCTCTGACTCCCAGCCACCAAAGCCAGACCCATGGAGACTTCCATTCCCTGGTCTTGGAATTTTTTTTGGAGGTAATGGGGGTTTGAACTCAGGGCCTTGCACGTTTTAGGTGCTCTACCACTTGAGTTATGACCCCAGCCCTTTTTGCTTTAATTATTTTTCAGTAAGGGTCTCACATTTTTCCCCAGGCCAGACTCAGACTGTGATCGTCCTACCTATGCCTCCCAGGTCTGGGATTATAGACAAGAGCCACTATGCCCAGCTTGTTTGTTGAAATGGGGGTCTAACTTTTTGTCTGAGCTGGCTTTGAACTGCAATCCTCCCGATCTCTGCCTCCTGAGCTGACTCAGAATTTAACACCAGTTTTGATGTGGAGACGTCTCTTTTCTTTCTTGGGCATCCCTCTCTTCACAATGCCCAGCTCTAAAAACTGACCCTGAAGCATCACTCAGCAGCATGTGGGTCACGTCCAGGTGCCAGAGCAATGCCAACCCCACATTAACTGGACCTCTCTGAGGGCTTTCCCACTCAGACTCAAGATCACCTGCAGGGCTCACTGATCAATGACTATAACCATCTTGGACAAAGGGGAGCCACGGCTAGAACAAAAGAACCTCCTGACCCTGTGTTCAAGGAAGTTGTGGGGAAGGGCTCACTATGGAGCCCTGGGCAGGGCTGGCCTGGCCACTCCAGTACCAAGGGCAGGGCTGTGGGCAGGGCATTGTGAGCTTGGGCAACGGCCCCTTCTCACGTTTGCCTGAGGCCAGAGTCCATTCCTGTCCCATGACATCACATGGCATCACAGGACCTCACAGCACTGATGAGAGTAGAGCAGTACAGCCACACCAGCCATGTCAGCTAGGCAGTGTAGCTGCTAGGAGTTCAGAGCTGGGCTCACCCTTGTCCTGAAGACAGCCCTCCTGGTTCTGAGTACCAAGGGAAAGACCAGTCATGCCAGCAGCCTCCATGTTCTCTGCAGGAGCCGGGAGGCTGAGGCATTTCATGCTTTTGCACCCTGTCTCCAACATCACTCATAGACTGGGGTTCCCCCGGGTTGTCTAATTCATCCTGGCACCCACGCCTGGTTACAGAATGGATGGAGGATAAAGACTGGGTGTGACCCTATAGCAGCAGCAGAACTGGGCAAGTGCCTCCAGACTGGGACCTGGTGCTGGGCTGGACAAGGACAGTGGGAGGCAGACCCTGACAGTACAGAGGGGGATCTGGAGCAAGCAGCTAGCATGGCCTGGTGTCTCTCCGGTCATCATGTGGGCACTGGGCACACCTCAGCTCTGATGGGGCCCAGCTCCCAGGCATACCTGGGAAAGGCACCAAAGAAAGATCCAGACCCTACCTAGAACCAGGCTGGCGGCCAATTCCAGACAGAGGTCTGACCTCAGTCCTGGGGTGAAAAAGAGGTCAAGACTAGGACTGGGAGGAGGAGACTTCAGTTCAGGCGCCCTCTGCCTGGATATCTGGATGGCCGGGTTGAGCACCCCAGTCATCGTGCTCAAGGGTGCAGGCACTGAAGCGGTGTGCCCTGGTGTAGGCATCAAGAGCAGGAGACTGAGAAACACCTTAACTTAGTAAGTGTTTAAATCATGCAATTATTTTTCTGATTGCTTCTAAAACTAGAACTCATTAAAAGCTCTCACAGAATTTCTTTCTCTTCTTTCTCTGGCACCGAGGAACCACCTCACACAGACACAGTAAAACCTCGGGGAGGGTGCGCATATGTGCAGCGTGTCCCCTCCACTTTAAGAATAAGAAGGAAAAACACTACCACTGCATTTTTCTGTTCTTATAATCAGGATCTTGGCAGCCACCTACCTACAAAGGCAACTGTTCCAGCTAGTGGAACAGCCAGCTCGTATTTATTTATGTATTTGTTTTTCTCCCTTTATTTATGGCTAGCATAGGCTGGCTCAATCTCACCCTGAATGGGGCTAGGAGCCAAGTGCAGGGAGGACGGCTGGGGCTCTGAGGGGCTTCCAGCCCTGCCCCCCACCCCCGCATCCCCTCACTGGGTCCTCGGCTCTCCCAAGCCCACCAGGTAGTCATAGCAACAGAGCAGCTGGTACACTCAGAGCCTGCACCTGGGTCAGGTGACACAACTGCTGGGGAGCTCCAGCAGGTGAGATGGGCTTGGCTGGCATGGGGAGCCCAGGGCACGCTGCTCCCCAGCAGTGGGCAGAGCAAAGATCTGGTTCCAGCTCAGATGGCTGGACAGTGCCCCTGGGCCTGGCAGGCACACCCATCTCATTCAGCCTCAGTTCAGGAACAAGTTGGCACCCGCCCCCTCCCTCACCCCCCCAGGAGCAGCACACCTCAATCAAGGCTAAGAGGCTGATCCTGGGCAGCTGGC